CGTGCATTTTAATTTATGAATGCGTATCCATACCTGCGGGTGCCCATTGCAATTAATGAATGCTTGTACCTTAACAACAACAACGTGTCCATCGCCGTCTGGGTTACTGAACTGGGAGGTGAAGTTGAACTTTGCGCGTCTCGCCAGGTGAAGCCCACTAAGCGACTTTGCTCGGTTTTTTATATTTTTTACACGCTTTCATTTAACTCGCTCTGTCTGTTGTTGTTGTTATTGTATCCTCAAATCTCGCAACTCAATTGTAACACACTTCCCAATGTGGTATATCGACTGCAGACTTGGTTATACTTGTGTCATGCTGATGACAATTACCATATTCTATCGTTAAGAATAAAAAAATATACCAGTAAAACCTTGGATTGCGAGTAACTTGGTCTGCGAGTGTTTTGCAAGACGAGCAGATTTTTTTAGTAAATGTTAATTTGATAAACGAGCGAGGGGTCTTGCAATACGAGCAGTAGTACGCTTTGTACTGCCGAGCATCACGTGATCACAACTGATGTACACCGAGTGCTTTGATGTACGAGTGCTTTGGATTACAAGCACGTTTTACGGAATGGAATTTATGCTCCTCGCAATCCAAGGTTTTACTGTATTTTAAAACGTTATCTTTTTTATTTACACGCTTTTATTTAACTCGCTCTGTCTGTTGTTGTTATTGTATCCTCAAATCTCGCAACTCAATTGTAACCCACTTCCCAATGTGGTATATCGACTGCAGACCTGGTATATACTTACGTCATGCTGATGACAATTACCACATTCTATCGTTAAAATTTTTTCAAAAATAAACACATACCAGTAAAACCTTGGATTGCGAGTTACTTGGTCTGCGAGTGTTTTGCAAGACGAGCAGATTTTTTTAGTAAATGTTAATTTGATAAACGAGCGAGGGGTCTTGCAATACGCGCAGTAGTACACGCTTTGTACTGCCGAGCATCACGTGATCACAACTGATGTACACCGAGTGCTTTGATGTACGAGTGCTTTGGATTACAAGCACGTTTACGGAACGGAATTATGCTCCTCGCAATCCAAGCTTTTACTGTACTTTAAAACGTTATCTTTTTTTATTTACACGCTTTTATTTAGCTCGCTCTGTTGTTATTGTAACCTCAAATCTCGCAACTCAATTGTAACCCACTTCCCAATGTGGTATATCGACTGCAGACCTGGTATATACTTACGTCATGCTGATGACAATTACCATATTCTATCGTTAAAATTTTTTTTAAAATAAACACATACCAGTGAAACCTTGGATTGCGAGTAACTTGGTCTGCGAGTGTTTTGCAAGACGAGCAGATTTTTTTAGTAAATGTTAATTTGATAAACGAGCGAGGGGTCTTGCAATACGCGCAGTAGTACACGCTTTGTACTGCCGAGCATCACGTGATCACAACTGATGTACACCGAGTGCTTTGATGTACGAGTGCTTTGGATTACAAGCACGTTTTACGGAACGGAATTATGCTCCTAGCAATCCAAGGTTTTTACTGTACTTTAAAACGTTATCTTTTTTTATTTACACGCTTTTATTTAACTCGCTCTGTTGTTGTTATTGTATCCTCAAATCTCGCAACTCAATTGTAACCCACTTCCCAATGTGGTATATCGACTGCAGACTTTGTATATACTTACGTCATGCTGATGACAATTACCATATTCTGTCGTAGCAGTGTAAATTGTACATTTATAAAACGTTCTATTTTATACGTTTCGGCTTGGCTCTAATTGTCCGTTGGCTGTGAATCGCCACGGTCCATCTTCTATCGTTTTTTCGGTAAAGTCGCCACCACGTAGAATGAGAGTAAAATAATAAATTGATGAAATAAAATAACACAGTAAAGTTCTCACGACGTTTTCGGCCACAACGCAAGCGGCCTCCCATCAGGTGAAGGGACTGGACTGTCCGGAGGACAGCGTACGTTCACCTGACGGAGGCCGCTTGTGTTGTGGCCGAAAACGTCGTGAGAACTTTATTGTGTTATTTTATCGATTTATTATTTTGTTATTCCCATTCTACGTGGCGGTGACTTTACCGAAAGAGCCAAAGAGGACGAATCCTTGCAGTCACGAAAGATTCAAATGGAAGTTTTCACCACGGTCCCTTTCGTTACGGCAAGCTTAGGGGGGCCGCTTCCTGGAGTGGTGGAGTTCTGGCATTACTAGGACGGTACATTTCATGAAAGCGCGACCGTTATACCGAGAACGATGATGTTGGTGAGAATGATGGTGACGATAATGATGTTGGTGAGAATGATGGTGACGATAATGATGTTGGTGAGAATGATGGTGACGATAATGATGTTGGTGAGAATGATGGTGACGATAATGATGGTGACGATAATGATGGTGACGATAATGATGGTGAGAATGATGGTGACGATAATGATGGTGACGATAATGATGGTGACGATAATGATGGTGAGAATGATGGTGACGATAATGATGGTGACGATAATGATGGTGACGATAATGTTGGTGAGAATGATGGTGACGATAATGATGGTGAGAATGATGTTGACGATAATGTTGGTGAGAATGATGGTGACGATAATGATGTTGAGAATGATGTTGACGATAATGATGTTGACGATAATGATGTTGACGATAATGATGTTGACGATAATGATGGTGAGAATGATGTTGAGTTATGTTAAGAATGATGTTGAGTGATGTTGACGATAATGATGTTGACGATAATGATGGTGAGAATGATGTTGAGTGATGTTAAGAATGATGTTGAGTGATGTTGACGATAATGATGTTGACGATAATGTTGGTGAGAATGATGTTGACGATAATGATGTTGACGATAATGATGTTGACGATAATGAAGGTGACGATAATGATGGTGACGATAATGATGTTGACGATAATGATGGTGAGAATGATGGTGAGAATGATGGTGACGATAATGATGGTGACGATAATGATGTTGACGATAATGATGTTGACGATAATGTTGGTGAGAATGATGGTGACGATAATGATGGTGATAATGATGTTGATAATGATGGTGACGAGAATGATGTTGACGATAATGATGGTGACGATAATGATGTTGATAATGATGGTGACGAGAATGATGTTGACGATAATGATGTTGACGATAATGATGTTGACGATAATGATGGTGACGATAATGATGTTGATAATGATGGTGACGATAATGATGTTGATAATGATGGTGACGATAATGATGGTGACGATAATGATGTTGACGATAATGATGGTGACGATAATGATGGTGACGATAATGATGTTGAGAGTGATGTTGACGATAATGATGGTGAGAATGATGGTGAGAATGATGGTGACGATAATGATGGTGACGATAATGATGGTGAGAATGATGGTGACGATAATGATGTTGACGATAATGATGGTGACGATAATGATGGTGACGATAATGATGTTGACGATAATGATGTTGACGATAATGATGGTGACGATAATGATGGTGAGAATGATGGTGACGATAATGATGTTGACGATAATGATGTTGACGATAATGATGTTGAGAATGATGGTGGTGAGAATGATGGTGACGATAATGATGGTGACGATAATGATGGTGACGATAATGATGTTGAGAATGATGTTGACGATAATGATGTTGACGATAATGATGGTGACGATAATGATGTTGAGAATGATGGTGACGATAATGATGTTGACGATAATGATGTTGACGATAATGATGGTGACGATAATGATGGTGACGATAATGTTGGTGAGAATGATGTTGACGATAATGATGGTGACGATAATGATGTTGACGATAATGATGGTGACGATAATGATGTTGAGAATGATGGTGACGATAATGATGGTGACGATAATGATGTTGACGATAATGATGTTGACGATAATGATGGTGACGATAATGATGGTGACGATAATGATGGTGAGAATGATGGTGACGATAATGATGGTGAGAATGATGGTGAGGATAATGTTGTTGAGAATGATGGTGAGGATAATGATGGTGACGATAATGATGTTGAGAATGATGTTGACGATAATGTTGGTGAGAATGATGGTGACGATAATGATGGTGACGATAATGATGGTGACGATAATGATGGTGACGATAATGATGTTGAGAATGATGGTGACGATAATGATGGTGACGATAATGATGGTGACGATAATGATGGTGACGATAATGATGGTGACGATAATGATGGTGACGATAATGATGTTGAGAATGATGGTGACGATAATGATGGTGACGATAATGATGGTGACGATAATGATGGTGACGATAATGATGGTGACGATAATGATGGTGACGATAATGATGGTGACGATAATGATGGTGACGATAATGATGGTGACGATAATGATGGTGACGATAATGATGGTGACGATAATGATGGTGACGATAATGATGGTGAGAATGATGGTGACGATAATGATGGTGACGATAATGATGGTGACGATAATGATGGTGACGATAATGATGGTGACGATGCTGCTGGTGACGATCGTGATCCTAACGACTCAAATGCCGCTTCATGACAATGCTGATGCTGCTGTTTACAATGAAGGTGACGATGCTGATGATGACGATGCTGATGATGACGATGCTGATGACGATGCTTCTGATGACGATGCTGCTGATGACGATGCTGCTGATGATGATGCTGCTGGTGACGATGCCGCTGCTGGTGACGATGATGCTGATGATGATGCTGCTGGTGACGATGCTGCTGATGATGATGATGCTGCTGGTGACGATGCCGCTGACGCTGATGCTGGTGACGATGCTGCTGATGATGCTGCTGCTGACGATGCTGCTGATGACGATGCTGGTAATGACGCTGCTGCTGACGACGCTGCCGGTGACGATGCCACTGATGATGATGATGATGCTGCTGGTGACGATGCCGATGACGATGCTGCTGATGATGATGCTGCTGGTGATGATGACGATGCCGCTGACGCTGATGCCGCTGTTGGTGTCCGCGCAGCTCCGTGCGCGTCATGACGTCCGTGTCGTTCTTCTCCGAGAACCTGGGCTCGGCAGGCGGCGATGACGGAGGCGTCCAGTCCGAGTGAGTGGGAGCACGCACAGGGACTCACACACACACGTACACGAGTGTAGGTGTGTGTGTGTACGTGTGTAGGAGTGTGTCACTGTGTGTGTGTGTCAGTGTGTGTGTGTGTCAGTGTGTGTGTGTGTCAGTGTGTGTGTGTGTCAGTGTGTAGGAGTGTGTGTGTAGGTGTGTGTGTGTCAGTGTGTGTGTGTGTCAGTGTGTAGGAGTGTGTACGTGTGTGTGTGTCACTGTGTGTGTGTCACTGTGTGTGTGTGTCACTGTGTGTGTGTGTCACTGTGTGTGTCACTGTGTGTGTGTCACTGTGTGTGTGTGTCACTGTGTGTGTGTGTGTCACTGTGTGTGTGTGTGTCACTGTGTGTGTGTGTGTCACTGTGTGTGTGTGTCACTGTGTGTGTGTCACTGTGTGTGTGTGTGTGTGTCACTGTGTGTGTGTCACTGTGTGTGTGTCACTGTGTGTGTGTGTCACTGTGTGTGTGTGTGTCACTGTGTGTGTGTCACTGTGTGTGTGTGTGTCACTGTGTGTGTGTGTCACTGTGTGTGTGTGTCACTGTGTGTGTCACTGTGTGTGTCACTGTGTGTGTCACTGTGTGTGTATGACCTCCTGTCACAGGTGCTGGCTAAAGTGGCCCCTCGATAAAGTCATCATGTTGGGTGACTTCAATGCCCGAGTTGGTCATGATACTGGCACCTGGTCTGGAGTGATTGGAGGGCATGGGCCAGATCAGCTCAATAACAACGGTAGGAGGCTGCTAGATTTTTGTGCAGCGCATGGGCTTGAAATTAACAACACGCTGTTCCGGCATCGGCGCATCCACACAACATCATGGATGCATGCCGGGTCCAAGCAAGAACATCTGCTGGACTACATAGTGACGGACCAGCGGATGCGAGCCCATGTCCTTGACACCAGGACCTACCGTGGAGCTGATCTGCCCTCTGACCATCGACTAGTCATCTGTAAGATGCGCCTGCCATTCTTCCACTCCGGTGGTGGGTGTACACCCAGGACCCCATTCCGACCTAAAGTGGCCTGGTCTCAGTTATCTGATGAAAGTTGCAAGCGAGAATTTCATCATTGCTTGCGGCTGTGATTGGCATCGTCCCCGACTCCTCCTGATGTCGAGGGTAAATGGGCGAGGTTTAGGACTGTGACTCATGCAGCTGCAATGGCTGCTTTGGGTACGCGGTCCAGACCTCCCCAGAGACCCTGGCTGACAGAGGAGGTGTTCAGGATGGTTGAGAAAAAGCGACAGGCCCACTGTCATCGGTTACAGAATCCCACGTCAGAGAATGAGGAGGCTTACCGCAGCCTTCGCTCGGAGGTTCGGAGAGCCGTGAGGCGCTGCAAGGATGGGTGGTGGTCGCGGGTTGCTGAGGAGATGGAGTCTGCCTCAGTGACCCGTGATCACAAATCTATATTTACCTCCATCAAAAAAGTAATCTGCAGCGCCACACCTATTACCATCATTAGGGGAAAAAACGGTGACCCAATCTCCGACCCCCAGGAACAGGTTTGCAGATTTGCTGAGCATTTCTTTGAGGTCCTGGGGGAGGGAAAATCCCTCAGCCAGGAAAACATCGTGGCACAAAGTGAGGATGACCCTGCTGAGGCTGTGGTGCCTCAAATATTGGAAGAAGTCACCCCCTGTGAGTGGCTGGCTGAGGTGCCATCTGTTGAGGAAGTACTGAAGGCGATCCGGAGTCTGAGACCAGGAAAGGCAGCGGGCAGAGATGATCTCCCAAGCGAAATGCTGAGGGAGGGTGGCGTTTGTGCACAGACTGCCCTATATGACATCATAACAACAGTCTGGACCGCTGGACAGGTTCTGCAGGATTGGAAGGATGCCCTGGTGGTCCCCCTTTTTAAGAAGGGGGACCGCACAGACTGTAACAACTACAGGGGCATCTCACTCCTCAGTATGCCGGGAAAGGTCCTGGCAAGGATTATTCAACATCGCCTTGCCAGGCACGCTGAGGAGAGGCTTGCGGAGCCCCAATGCGGTTTCAGGAAAGGGCGGTCCTGCACAGATGCCATATTTTCTGTCCGTCTGCTACAGCAGAGGTGTAGGGAATTCCAACAAGACCTACAGCTCTGCTTTATTGACCTGGTCAAGGCCTATGATACCATCAGTAGGCCTGGGCTCTGGGTTGTTCTTTGTGTTTTTGGAGTACCTGACCCTCTGCTCACGATCATTAAGGACCTTCATGATGGTGAGCGGGCCCGGGTAAAACTACGTGGCCGGGAGTCAGAGCCATTCCCTGTTAACCTTGGGGTGCGACAGGGATGTCCTCTGGCTCCCACATTATTTAACATCTATTTTGACCAAGTAGTTCGTGAAGCCTTCAATAGCTGTACCGGGGGAATCTCCATATGGTACATATATAATGGGAGGCTGATCGACGCCCGGGTGCAGTCAAGGGATGGCTCCCTATTGCTCAACCACGTTATGTATGCTGATGATTTGGTAATAGCTGCACATTCGGAGGAGGAGTTGGAGACGCTGCTGCTGAGACTGGAGCGTGCCACTAAGAGGTGGGGCCTTACCATCAGCCCCACCAAAACTAAGCACCTGCCTGGGTATTTTGTACCATCGGACACTCCACCCCCACAACTCCCTATCGGTGATGGGGCAGTTGTGGAGAGAGTGGAGAGTTTCCCATACCTGGGCAGTGTGCTTATGACTGGCTCCAGTTTAACAGCAGAGGTCTCACTCCGAATCAGTCGAGCAGCAATATCTTTTCATCGGTTGCGTAACGCTGTGTGGAAACTACCTGGTCTGTCGCTCCGCACTAAGCTTCAGGTCTTCTTGGCCACAGTCATTCCCTCCCTTCTCTACGCTTGCGAAACGTGGACCCCCCTAATGGAACATCTTCGCCGGTTAGAAACATTTAGGCTGGCCTGCCTACGATCCATCCTGGGTTTAACCAGACTGGATTGTGTGAGGAGCTCACAAATCCTTGAAAGATCTGGGCAAGGTCCCATCGGTGAGTTCCTCCGGCGGGGAAGGCTGCGATGGCTGGGTCATGTAGCCCGCATGCCCAGCCACCGCATGCCGAAACAGCTTTTGTTCGGCCGGATTGAGGGGGCTAAGCTGGCGCGGTACGGGCTAGAGAAGAGATGGAGTGATGTGGTACAAGAGGACGTGGAGCTGAGAGGATTTGCTGATGACTGGTACCAGCGGTGTCAAGATCGGCCTCTGTGGAGGAGGCTCGTGAAGGATGCTACTGGGCAGTTGGAGGCAGTCGCCCTCCAACAACAATGGAGGGCGGAGGAGCGACGCTCAGAATAACGAGCGGAGCGCCGGGTGGCTAAAGCACAGCAGGTTGGCACAGTAGGGGGCACAGGTGGTGCATCAGCCAGTCATCTCAGTCAGTCGACCCGTGGCACCTGGGTCTGCCCAGTGACCTCCTGCCAGTGGGTGTTCGACACTTCACGTGGCCTCAGGGTGCACATAGCCTGGCACAAGCGTCGTGGTGACGTCACCGCCGCTTAGTGGCGAATGGCGGTTGTTGTACGTGTGTGTGTGTCAGTGTGTGTGTATGTGTGTGCGTGTGTCTGTGCGTGGGGAGTGATAGTGTAGCGGTTAGCGCTACGCTGCGCTATGAACCTGGCGACCCGGGTTCGATTCCCGCTCACGGCCAACACCGGTGACGATTATCTGAACCGGTTCTGGGCCTCCCCTAGGTCGACTCGGCCTCAAATGAGTACCCGGTGCTGTGTGTAGTGAACATCGTTAGCACTGGGGGAGACAAAGGCGGCCGGGCGTGGTGCTGGCCACCCACCCCCTCGTGTGCCACAGTGCCGGTAGCCTTCATAGGTGGTGCTCGCTAACAGCACTTGCCCCTACAGCCCTGCTAGAGGCTACACGGGGGATCTTTGTCTGTGTATAGGTGCTGCTGCTACTCGCTACTGACAGCACTTGCCCCTACAGCCCTGCTAGAGGCTACACGGGGGATCTTTGTCTGTGTATAGGTGCTGCTGCTACTCGCTACTAACAGCACTTGCCCCTACAGCCCTGCTAGAGGCTACACGGGGGATCTTTGTCCATGTGTAGGTGCTGCTGCTACACGCTACTAACAGCACTTGCCCCTACAGCCATGCTAGAGGCTACACGGTGGATCTTTGTCTCTGTCTGTGTGTGAGGTGCTAGCTAACAGCACTTGCCCCTACAGCCCTGCTAGAGGCTACCTGGGAGATCTTTGTCTGTGTATAGGTGCTGCTGCTACTCGCTACTAACAGCACTTGCCCCTACAGCCCTGCTAGAGGCTACACGGGGGATCTTTGTGTCTGTGTGAGGTGCTAGCTAACAGCACGTGCCCCTACAGCCCTGCTAGAGGCTACACGGGGGATCTTTGTCTGTGTGTGAGGTGCTAGCTAACAGCACTTGCCCCTGCAGCCCTGCTAGAGGCTACACGGGGGATCTTTGTCTGTGTCTGTGTGTGAGGTGCTAGCTAACAGCACTTGCTCCTACAGCCCTGCTAGAGGCTACACGGGGGACCTTTGTCTGTGTCTGTGTGTGAGGTGCTAGCTAACAGCACTTGCCCCTGCAGCGCTGCTAGAGGCTACACGGGGGATCTTTGTCTGTGTCTGTGTGTGAGGTGCTAGCTAACAGCACTTGCTCCTACAGCCCTGCTAGAGGCTACACGGGGGATCTTTGTGTCCGTGTGTGAGGTGCTCGCTAACAGCACTTGCCCCTACAGCCCTGCTAGAGGCTACACGGGGGATCTTTGTCTGTCTGTGTGTGAGGTGCTAGCTAACAGCACTTGCCCCTGCAGCCCTGCTAGAGGCTACACGGGGGACCTTCGTCTGTGTGTAGGCGCTGCTGCTGCTACTCGCTACTAACAGAACTTGCCCCTACAGCCCTGCTAGAGGCTACACGGGGGATCTTTGTCTGTGTGTAGGCGCTGCTGCTGCTACTCGCTACTAACAGCACTTGCCCCTACAGCCCTGCTACACGGGGGATCTTTGTCTGTGTCTATAGCCCTGCGTGATTGTGTCACGTCAGGGGGGAGAACGGCTCCCTGCAGGACCGCGGCGAGCCCGACCCGGACACCATAAACATGTTTGTGGGCCAGATCCCACGCTCGTGGGGCGAGATGGAGCTGCGTCAGCTGTTCCAGCAGTTCGGGCCCGTGTACGAGATCAGCATCGTGCGTGACCGCACACAGAGGCTGCCACAACAGGGGCGTGGAGAGGGCCCAGCGCAGAGCCGAGGTTTGGGGTGGAGGGGGGAAGGAGTAGGGGCTCGCTCGCTCACTCAGTGACTCGCTCGCTCGCTCAGTGACTCGCTCGCTCGCTCAGTGACTCGCTCGCTCGCTCAGTGACTCGCTCGCACACTCAGTGACTCACACACTCAGTGACTCACACACTCAGTGACTCACTCGCTCAGTGACTCGCTCGCTCACTCAGTGACTCGCTCGCTCGCTCAGTGACTCGCTCGCTCGCTCAGTGACTCGCTCGCTCACACACTCAGTGACTCGCTCGCTCGCTCAGTGACTCGCTCGCTCGCTCAGTGACTCGCTCACACTCAGTGACTCACTCGCTCAGTGACTCGCTCGCTCACGCAGTGACTCACTCGCTCACGCAGTGACTCGCTCGCTCGCTCAGTGACTCACTCGCTCGCTCGCTCAGTGACTCGCTCACACACTCAGTGACTCGCTCGCTCACTCAGTGACTCGCTCGCTCGCTCAGTGACTCGCTCGCTCGCTCAGTGACTCGCTCGCTCGCTCAGTGACTCGCTCGCACACTCAGTGACTCACACACTCAGTGACTCACACACTCAGTGACTCACTCGCTCAGTGACTCGCTCGCTCACTCAGTGACTCGCTCGCTCGCTCAGTGACTCGCTCGCTCGCTCAGTGACTCGCTCGCTCACACACTCAGTGACTCGCTCGCTCGCTCAGTGACTCGCTCGCTCGCTCAGTGACTCGCTCACACTCAGTGACTCACTCGCTCAGTGACTCGCTCGCTCACGCAGTGACTCACTCGCTCACGCAGTGACTCGCTCGCTCGCTCAGTGACTCACTCGCTCGCTCGCTCAGTGACTCGCTCGCACACTCAGTGACTCGCTCGCTCGCTCAGTGACTCGCTCGCTCGCTCGCTCAGTGACTCGCTCGCTCACACACTCAGTGACTCGCTCACTCGCTCAGTGACTCGCTCACACACTCAGTGACTCGCTCACTCGCTCAGTGACTCGCTCGCTCGCTCAGTGACTCGCTCGCTCGCTCGCTCAGTGACTCGCTCGCTCACACACTCAGTGACTCGCTCGCTCGCTCAGTGACTCGCTCGCTCGCTCAGTGACTCGCTCGCTCGCTCGCTCAGTGACTCGCTCGCTCACACACTCAGTGACTCGCTCGCTCGCTCAGTGACTCGCTCGCTCGCTCAGTGACTCGCTCGCTCGCTCAGTGACTCGCTCACACACTCAGTGACTCACTCGCTCACTCAGTGACTCGCTCGCTCGCTCAGTGACTCACACACTCAGTGACTCACTCGCTCGCTCAGTGACTCGCTCGCACACTCAGTGACTCACTCGCTCGCTCAGTGACTCGCTCGCACACTCAGTGACTCGCTCGCTCGCTCAGTGACTCGCTCACACACTCAGTGACTCGCTCGCTCAGTGACTCGCTCGCACACTCAGTGACTCGCTCGCTCGCTCAGTGACTCGCTCAGTGACTCGCTCGCTCGCTCAGTGACTCGCTCACACTCAGTGACTCGCACACTCAGTGACTCGCTCACACACTCAGTGACTCGCTCACTCAGTGACTCGCTCACTCGCTCAGTGACTCACTCACTCAGTGACTCGCTCGCACACTCAGTGACTCGCTCACTCAGTGACTCGCTCACTCGCTCAGTGACTCGCTCGCTCACTCAGTGACTCGCTCACACTCAGTGACTCACTCGCTCGCTCAGTGACTCGCTCGCACGCTCAGTGACTCACTCGCTCACTCAGTGACTCGCTCGCACACTCAGTGACTCACTCGCACACTCAGTGACTCGCTCGCACACTCAGTGACTCACTCGCTCACTCAGTGACTCGCTCGCTCAGTGACTCGCTCGCTCAGTGACTCGCTCGCTCGCTCAGTGACTCACTCGCTCACTCAGTGACTCGCTCGCTCGCTCAGTGACTCGCTCGCTCGCTCAGTGACTCGCTCGCTCGCTCAGTGACTCGCTCGCTCGCTCAGTGACTCGCTCACTCAGTGACTCGCTCGCTCGCTCAGTGACTCGCTCGCTCGCTCAGTGACTCGCTCACTCAGTGACTCGCTCGCTCGCTCAGTGACTCGCTCACACTCAGTGACTCACTCGCTCGCTCAGTGACTCGCTCACACACTCAGTGACTCGCACACTCAGTGACTCGCTCGCTCGCTCAGTGACTCGCTCACACACTCAGTGACTCGCACACTCAGTGACTCGCTCACTCAGTGACTCGCTCACACACTCAGTGACTCACTCGCTCGCTCAGTGACTCGCTCACACACTCAGTGACTCGCACACTCAGTGACTCGCTCGCTCGCTCAGTGACTCGCTCACACACTCAGTGACTCGCACACTCAGTGACTCGCTCACACACTCAGTGACTCGCTCACTCACTCAGTGACTCGCTCACTCACTCAGTGACTCGCTCGCTCAGTGACTCGCTCACACTCAGTGACTCACTCGCTCACTCAGTGACTCGCTCACACACTCAGTGACTCGCTCACTCAGTGACTCGCTCACACACTCAGTGACTCACTCAGTGACTCGCTCACTCAGTGACTCGCTCACACACTCAGTGACTCACTCAGTGACTCGCTCGCTCAGTGACTCGCACACTCAGTGACTCGCTCACTCAGTGACTCGCTCACTCAGTGACTCGCTCGCTCAGTGACTCGCTCACACTCAGTGACTAACTCGCTCACTCAGTGACTCACACACTCAGTGAATCACTCACTCAGTGACTCGCTCACTCAGTGACTCGCTCGCTCAGTGACTCGCTCACTCACTCAGTGACTCACACACTCAGTGACTCGCTCACTCAGTGACTTGCACACTCAGTGACTCGCTCACTCGCTCAGTGACTCGCTCGCACGCTCAGTGACTCGCTCACTCGCTCAGTGACTCACTCACTCACTCAGTGACTCACTCACTCACTCAGTGACTCACTCACTCACTCAGTGACTCACTCACTCACTCAGTGACTCACTCACTCAGTGACTCGCTCACACACTCAGTGACTCGCTCACTCAGTGACTCACTCACTCAGTGACTCGCTCACACACTCAGTGACTCGCACACTCAGTGACTCGCTCGCTCACTCAGTGACTCGCTCGCTCAGTGACTCGCTCAGTGACTCACTCAGTGACTCACTCACTCAGTGACTCACTCACTCAGTGACTCACTCGCTCAGTGACTCACACACTCAGTGACTCACTCACTCAGTGACTCGCACACTCAGTGACTCGCACACTCAGTGACTCGCTCACTCAGTGACTCGCTCGCTCAGTGACTCGCTCACTCACTCAGTGACTCGCTCGCTCAGTGACTCGCTCGCTCAGTGACTCGCTCACTCAGTGACTCACACACTCAGTGACTCGCTCACTCAGTGACTCGCTCACACACTCAGTGACTCGCTCGCTCAGTGACTCACACACTCAGTGACTCGCTCACACACTCAGTGACTCACTCAGTGACTCACACACTCAGTGACTCACACACTCAGTGACTCACTCAGTGACTCACACACTCAGTGACTCACACACTCAGTGACTCGCTCGCTCGCTCAGTGACTCACACACTCAGTGACTCGCTCACACACTCAGTTACTCGCTCGCTCAGTGACTCACACACTCAGTGACTCACACACTCAGTGACTCGCTCACACACTCAGTGACTCACTCGCTCACTCAGTGACTCGCTCACACACTCAGTGACTCGCTCACTCGCTCAGTGACTCACACACTCAGTGACTCACACACTCAGTGACTCGCTCACACACTCAGTTACTCGCTCGCTCAGTGACTCACACTCAGTGACTCACACACTCAGTGACTCGCTCACACACTCAGTGACTCACTCGCTCACTCAGTGACTCGCTCACACACTCAGTGACTCGCTCACTCGCTCAGTGACTCACACACTCAGTGACTCACTCACTCAGTGACTCTCTCACACACTCAGTGACTCACACACTCAGTGGCTCGCTCGCTCAGTGACTCACTCGCTCACTCAGTGACTCACACACTCAGTGACTCACTCGCTCAGTGACTCGCTCGCTCAGTGACTCGCTCGCTCAGTGACTCACACACTCAGTGACTCACTCGCTCACTCAGTGACTCGCTCACACACTCAGTGACTCGCTCGCTCGCTCAGTGACTCACACACTCAGTGACTCGCACACTCAGTGACTCGCTCACACACTCAGTTACTCGCTCGCTCAGTGACTCACACTCAGTGACTCACACACTCAGTGACTCGCTCACACACTCAGTGACTCACTCGCTCACTCAGTGACTCGCTCTCACACTCAGTGACTCGCTCACTCGCTCAGTGACTCACACACTCAGTGACTCACTCACTCAGTGACTCTCTCACACACTCAGTGACTCACACACTCAGTGGCTCGCTCGCTCAGTGACTCACTCGCTCAGTGACTCGCTCGCTCAGTGACTCTCTCACACACCCAGTGACTCACACACTCAGTGACTCACTCGCTCGCTCAATGACTCACACACTCAGTGACTCACTCACTCAGTGACTCGCTCACTCAGTGACTCACACACTCAGTGACTCACTCACTCAGTGACTCGCTCACTCAGTGACTCACACACTCAGTGACTCGCTCACACACTCAATGACTCACACACTCAGTGACTCACACACTCAGTTACTCGCTCACACACTCAGTGACTCGCTCGCTCAGTGACTCGCTCGCTCAGTGACTCACACACTCAGTGACTCGCTCGCACACTCAGTGACTCTCTCACACACTCAGTGACTCACACACTCAGTGACTCGCTCGCTCAGTGACTCGCTCGCTCAGTGACTCACACACTCAGTGACCCTCTCACACACTCAGTGACTCACACACTCAGTGACTCTCACACTCAGTGACTCACACACTCAGTGACTCGCTCGCTCAGTGACTCACACACTCAGTGACTCACACACTCAGTGACTCGCTCGCTCAGTGACTCACACACTCAGTGACTCGCTCACTCAGTGACTCGCTCACTCAGTGACTCACACACTCAGTGACTCGCTCGCTCAGTGACTCACACACTCAGTGACTCGCTCACACACTCAGTGACTCGCCCTCTCAGTGACTCGCTCACTCACTCAGTGACTCACACACTCAGTGACTCGCTCACACACTCAGTGACTCGCTCACTCAGTGACTCACTCACTCAGTGACTCACACACTCAGTGACTCGCTCACTCAGTGACTCGCTCACTCAGTGACTCGCTCACACACTCAGTGACTCGCCCTCTCAGTGACTCGCTCACTCACTCAGTGACTCACACACTCAGTGACTCGCTCACACACTCAGTGACTCGCTCACTCAGTGACTCACTCACTCAGTGACTCACACACTCAGTGACTCGCTCACACACTCAATGACTCACACACTCAGTGACTCACACACTCAGTTACTCGCTCACACACTCAGTGACTCGCTCACTCAGTGACTCGCTGACACACTCAGTGACTCGCACACTCAGTGACTCGCTCACTCAGTGACTCGCTCACACACTCAGTGACTCGCTCACTCAGTGACTCACACACTCAGTGACTCGCTCACACACTCAGTGACTCACTCACTCAGTGACTCGCACACTCAGTGACTCGCTCGCTCAGTGACTCGCTCACACACTCAGTGACTCGCTCACACACTCAGTGACTCACACTCAGTGACTCACACACTCAGTGACTCGCTCGCTCACTCAGTGACTCACTCACTCAGTGACTCGCACACTCAGTGACTCGCTCGCTCAGTGACTCACATACTCAGTGACTCACTCACACACTCAGTGACTCACACACTCAGTGACTCGCTCACTCAGTGACTCACTCACACACTCAGTGACTCACTCACTCAGTGACTCGCTCACATAGTGACTCACACACTCAGTGACTCGCTCACACACTAAGTGACTCACACACTCAGTGACTCACACACTCAGTGACTCGCTCGCTCACTCAGTGACTCACTCACTCAGTGACTCGCACACTCAGTGACTCGCTCGCTCAGTGACTCACTCACACACTCAGTGACTCACTCACACACTCAGTGACTCACACACTCAGTGACTCGCTCACTCAGTGACTCACTCACACACTCAGTGACTCACTCACTCAGTGACTCGCTCACTCAGTGACTCGCTCGCTCACTCAGTGACTCACACACTCAGTGACTCACACACTCAGTGACTCACTCAGTGACTCGCTCGCTCACTCAGTGACTCACTCACTCAGTGACTCGCACACTCAGTGACTCGCTCGCTCACTCAGTGACTCACTCACTCAGTGACTCGCACACTCAGTGACTCGCTCGCTCAGTGACTCACTCACACACTCAGTGACTCACTCACTCAGTAACTCACACACTCACTCAGTGACTCACACACTCACTCAGTGACTCACACACTCACTCAGTGACTCACACTCACTCAGTGACTCACACTCAGTGACTCGCACACTCACTCAGTGACTCACACTCAGTGACTCGCTCACTCAGTGACGCCGCTCACTCACTCGGTGACACACGCTCAGTGACTCACTCACACACTCAGAGACTCGCTCACACACTCAGTGACTCGCAGACACAGTCACTCGCACACTCACGCAGTGACTCACACACTCAGTGACTCACACACTCAGTCACTCGCACACGCACGCAGTGACTCGCTCACTCACTCAGAGACTCGCTCACTCACTCAGAGACTCGCTCACACACTCAGTCACTCGCACACACAGTCACTCGCACACTCACGCAGTGACTCACACACTCAGTGACTCGCTCACACACTCAGTCACTCGCACACGCACGCAGTGACTCGCTCACTCACTCAGAGACTCGCTCACTCACTCAGTGACTCACACACTCAGTGACTCGCTCACTCACTCAGAGACTCGCTCACTCACTCAGAGACTCACACACTCAGTGACTCACTCACTCAGTCACTCGCACACGCACGCAGTGACTCGCTCACTCACTCAGAGACTCGCTCACTCACTCAGAGACTCACACACTCAGTGACTCACTCACTCAGTCACTCGCACACGCAGTGACTCACACGACAACTCTGTGTGTGTGACCGTGTGTGTGACCGTGTGTGCGACTGTGTGTGCGACCGTGTGTGTGACTCTGTGTGTGACTGTGTGTGACTGTGTGTGTGTGTGTGACTGTGTGCGACCGTGTGTGTGACTGTGTGTGACCGTGTGTGTGACTGTGTGTGTGACCGTGTGTGTGACTGTGTGCGACCGCGACCGTGTGTGTGTGTCTGTGTGTGTGTGTATGACTGTGTGTGTGTGTGTGTGACTGTGTGTGTGACTGTGGGGAGCGATAGTGTAGCGATTAGCGCGCTGCGCTATGAACCTGGCGACCCGGGTTCGATTCCCGCTCACGGCCAACACCAGTGACGATTATCTGAACCGGTCCCGGGCCTCCCCTAGGTCGACTCAGCCTCAAATGAGTACCTGGTGCGGTGTGTAAACATTGCCACTAGGGAGACAAAGGCGGTCGGGCGTGGTGCTGGCCACCCACCCCCTCGTGTACCGTTCCGGCCTTCATAGGTGCTCGCTAACAGCACTTGCCCCTACAGTCTGTTAAGGCTATATGGGGGATCTTTGTCTTTGTTTTTGACTGTGTGCGACCGCGACCGTGTGTGTGTGTCTGTGTGTGTGTATGACTGTGTGTGTGTGTGACTGTGTGTGTGTGTGACTGTGTGTGTGTGTGTGACTGTGTGTGTGTGTGTGACTGTGTGTGTGTGTGTGACTGTGTGTGTGTGTGTGACTGTGTGTGTGTGTGTGTGACTGTGTGTGTGTGTGGTGTGGTGTGTGTGACTGTGTGTGTGTGTGTGACTGTGTGTGTGTGTGACTGTGTGTGTGTGTGACTGTGTGTGTGTGTGACTGTGTGTGTGTGACTGTGTGTGTGTGACTGTTTGTGTGACTGTGTGTGTGTGACTGTGTGTGTGTGACTGTTTGTGTGACTGTGTGTGTGTGACTGTTTGTGTGTGACTGTTTGTGTGACTGACTGACTGTGTGTGTGTGTGTGTGACTGACTGTGTGTGTGTGTGACTGTGTGTGACTGTGTGTGTGTGTGACTGTGTGTGTGTGTGACTGTGTGTGACTGTGTGTGTGTGTGTGACTGTGTGTGTGTGTGACTGTGTGTGACTGTGTGTGTGACTGTGTGTGTGTGTGTGACTGTGTGTGTGTGTGACTGTGTGTGTGTGTGTGACTGTGTGTGTGTGTGTGACTGTGTGTGTGTGTGTGTGTGACTGTGTGTGTGTGTGTGTGTGACTGTGTGTGTGTGTGTGACTGTGTGTGTGTGTGTGACTGTGTGTGTGTGTGTGACTGTGTGTGTGTGTGACTGTGTGTGTGTGTGACTGTGTGTGTGTGTGACTGTGTGTGTGTGACTGTTTGTGTGACTGTGTGTGTGTGACTGTGTGTGTGTGACTGTGTGTGTGTGACTGTTTGTGTGACTGTGTGTGTGTGACTGTTTGTGTGTGACTGTTTGTGTGACTGACTGACTGTGTGTGTGTGTGTGTGACTGACTGTGTGTGTGTGTGACTGTGTGTGACTGTGTGTGTGTGTGTGACTGTGTGTGTGTGTGACTGTGTGTGACTGTGTGTGTGTGTGTGACTGTGTGTGTGTGTGACTGTGTGTGTGTGTGTGACTGTGTGTGTGTGTGTGACTGTGTGTGTGTGTGACTGTGTGTGTGTGTGACTGTGTGTGTGTGACTGTGTGTGTGACTGTGTGTGACTGTGTGTGACTGTGTGTGTGTGACTGTGTGTGACTGTGTGTGTGTGTGACTGTGTGTGACTGTGTGTGTGTGTGACTGTGTGTGACTGTGTGTGTGTGTGACTGTGTGTGTGTGTGACTGTGTGTGTGTGACTGTGTGTGACTGTGTGTGTGTGTGACTGTGTGTGTGTGTGACTGTGTGTGTGTGTGACTGTGTGTGTGTGTGTGACTGTGTGTGTGACTGTGTGTGTGACTGTGTGTGTGTGACTGTGTGTGTGTGTGTGTGTGACTGTGTGACTGTGTGTGTGTGTGTGACTGTGTGACTGTGTGTGTGTGTGTGACTGTGTGTGTGTGTGTGACTGTGTGTGTTTGTGTGACTGTGTGTGTTTGTGTGACTGTGTGTGTTTGTGTGACTGTGTGTGTTTGTGTGACTTTGTCTTTGTTTGTGTGACTGTGTGACTGTGTGTGTGTGACTGTGTGTGTGACTGTGTGTGACTGTGTGTGTGACTGTGTGTGTGTGTGTGTGACTGACTGTGTGTGTGACTGTGTGTGACTGTGTGTGACTGTGTGTGTGTGTGACTGTGTGTGTGTGTGACTGTGTGTGTGTGTGTATGTGTGACTGTGTGTGTGTGTGTATGTGTGACTGTGTGTGTGTGTGACTGTGTGTGTGTGTGACTGTGTGTGTGTGTGACTGTGTGTGTGTGTGACTGTGTGTGTGTGTGACTGTGTGTGTGTGTGACTGTGTGTGTGTGACTGTGTGTGTGACTGTGACTGTGTGTGTGACTGTGACTGTGTGTGTGACTGTGTGTGACTGTGTGTGACTGTGTGTGACTGTGTGTGTGTGTCTGTTTGTGTGACTGTGTGACTGTGTGTGTGACTGTGTGTGTGACTGTGTGTGTGACTGTGTGTGTGACTGTTTGTGTGACTGCCTGCCCAGGCTGCTGCTTTGTAACGTTCTACACGAGGAAGGCGGCGATGGAGGCGCAGAATGCGCTCCACAACATCAAGATCCTCCCGGGGGTGACTCGCTCACTCCTCACCCGCCCGCTCGCCCGTCCGCTCGCTCACCCACTCGCTCGCTCGCTCGCTCACCCACTTGTCGGCTCACCAACTCGCTCACTCGCTCACCAACTCGCTCACTCGCTCACCCACTCACTCGCTCACCCACTCGCTCACCCACTCGCTCGCCCACTCGCTCACTCACTCACCCACTCGCTCACCAACTCGCTCACTCGCTCACCAACTCGCTCACCCACTCACTCGCTCACCCACTCGCTCACCCACTCGCTCACTCGCTCGCCCACTCGCTCACCCACCCGCTCACTCGCTCACCCTCTCACTCGCTCAGCCACTTGCTCGCTCACAAACTCGCCCGCTCGCTCACCCACTCGCTCACCCTCTCGCTCGCCCTCTCGCTCGCCCTCTCACTCGCCCTCTCGCTCGCCCTCTCTCCCCTCTCTCCCCTCTCCCAGATGCACCATCCGGTTCAGATGAAGCCCGCGGACAACGAGAGGTCGACCGGTAAGACGAGCCGCCTGACACTCGGACAGCGCACTGTCTCCCCGTGTCTCTCTCCGTGTCTCTCTCCCCGTGTCTCTCTCCCCGTGTCTCTCTCCCCGTGTCTCTCTCCCTGTGTCTCTCTCAGTGTCTCCCCGTGTCTCTCCCTGTGCGTGTCTCTCTCCGTGTCTCTCTCAGTGTCTCTCTCCGTGTCTCTCTCAGTGTCTCTCTCCGTGTCTCTCTCCCTGTGTCTCTCTCAGTGTCTCCCCGTGTCTCTCTCCGTGTCTCTCTCCCTGTGTCTCTCTCCCCGTGTCTCTCTCCCCGTGTCTCTCTCCCTGTGTCTCTCTCAGTGTCTCCCCGTGTCTCTCCCTGTGCGTGTCTCTCTCCGTGTCTCTCTCAGTGTCTCTCTCCGTGTCTCTCTCAGTGTGTCTCTCTCAGTGTGTCTCTCTCAGTGTCTCCCCGTGTCTCTCCCTGTGCGTGTCTCTCGGTGTCTCTCTAAGTGTCTCCCCGTGTCTCTCTCAGTGCGTGTCTCTCGGTGTCTCTCTCAGTGTCTCCCCGTGTCTCTCCCTGTGCATGTCTCCCTGTGTCTGTGTCGCCGTGTGTCTCTCTCAGTGTCTCCCCGTGTCTCTCCCTGTGCGTGTCTCTCGGTGTCTCTCTCAGTGTCTCCCCGTGTCTCTCTCCGTGTGTCTCCCTGTGTCTGTGTCCCCGTGTGTCTCTCTCCGTGTGTCTCTCAGTGTGTCTCTCTCAGTGTGTCTCTCTCCGTGTGTCTCTCTCCGTGTGTCTCTCTCAGTGTGTCTCCGTGTGTCTCTCAGTGTGTCTCAGTGTGTCTCCCTCCGTGTGTCTCTCTGTGTCTCCCCGTGTCTCTCCCTGTGCGTGTCTCAGTGTGTCTCTCTCAGTGTCTCCCCGTGTCTCTCCCTGTGCGTGTCTCTCTCCGTGTCTCTCTCAGTGTGTCTCTCTCAGTGTCTCCCCGTGTCTCTCCCTGTGCGTGTCTCTCGGTGTCTCTCTAAGTGTCTCCCCGTGTCTCTCTCAGTTTGTGTCTCTCGGTGTCTCTCTCAGTGTCTCCCCGTGTCTCTCCCTGTGCGTGTCTCTCTCCGTGTCTCTCTCAGTGTGTCCCCGTGTCTCTCCCTGTGTGTGTCTCTCTCGGTGTCTCCGTGTGTGTCTCTCGGTGTGTATCAGTGTCTCTCTCCGTGTGTCTCTCAGTGTCTCCCCGTGTCTCTCCCTGTGTGTGTCTTGGTGTGTCTCTCAGTGTGTCTCTCTCAGTGTGTCTCAGTGTCTCTCTCCGTGTGTCTCTCAGTATGTCCCCGTGTCTCTCTCAGTGTGTCTCAGTGTCTCTCTCCGTGTGTCTCTCTCAGTGTCTCTCTCCGTGTGTCTCTCTCGATGTCTCCGTGTGTCTCTCTCGGTGTCTCTCGGTGTGTCTCTGTGTCTCCCAGTGTCTCTCTCCGTGTGTCTCTCTCAGTGTGTCTCTCTCCGTGTGTCTCTCTCAGTGTGTATCAGTGTCTCTCTCCGTGTGTCTCTCAGTGTGTCCCCGTGTCTCTCTCAGTGTGTCTCAGTGTCTCTCTCCGTGTGTCTCTCTCAGTGTCTCCCCGTGTCTCTCTCCGTGTGTCTCTCTCGGTGTCTCCCTGTGTCTGTGTCCCTGTGTGTCTCTCTCAGTGTCTCTCTCCATGTCTCTCCCCGTGTGTCTCTCTCCGTGTGTCTTTCTCGGTGTCTCCCTGTGTCTGTGTCCCTGTGTGTCTCTCTCAGTGTCTCTCTCCATGTCTCTCTCCGTGTGTCTCTCGGTGTCTCGCCGTGTCTCTCTCCGTGTGTCTCTCTCAGTGTCTCCCCGTGTCTGTGTCCGTGCGTGTCTCTCTCAGTGTCTCCCCATGCGTGTCTGTCTCCCCGTGCGTGTCTGTCTCCCCGTGCGTGTCTGTCTCCCCGTGTGTCTTCCCGTGTGTCTCCCCGTGTGTCTAACCGTGTCTGTCTCTCCGTGTGTGTCTCCCCGTGTGTCTCCCCGTGTCTGTCTCCCCGTGTCTGTCTCCCCGTGTGAGTCTCCCCGTGTGAGTCTCCCCGTGTCTGTCTCCCCGTGTGAGTCTCCCCGTGTGTCTCCCCGTGTGTGTCTCCCCGTGTCTGTCTCCCCGTGTCTGTCTCCCCGTGTCTGTCTCCCCGTGTCTGTCTCCCCGTGTCTGTCTCCCCGTGTGTGTCTCCCCGTGTGAGTCTCCCCGTGTGTCTCCCCGTGCGTGTCTGTCTCCCCGTGTCTGTCTCCCCGTGTCTGTCTCCCCGTGTCTGTCTCCCCGTGTCTGTCTCCCCGTGTGTCTCCCCGTGTGTCTCCCCGTGTGTCTCCCCGTGTGTCTCCCCGTGCGTGTCTGTCTCCCCGTGCGTCTCCCTGTCTGTCTCCCCGTGTCTGTCTCCCCGTGTGTCTCTCCCTGTCTGTCTCCCCGTGTCTGTCTCCCCGTGTCTGTCTCCCCGTGTGTGTCTCCCCGTGCGTGTCTGTCTCCCCGTGTGTCTCCCTGTCTGTCTCCCCGTGTCTGTCTCTCGCCGCCTCTCCTCACTGGGCTACTGTCCAGCAGCCCGTCTTCAGAAGCGTCCCAGGCCCATCTCACAAACGATAGCAGCCCTCAACCAAGCAGTTGGGGGGGGGGCGGATTTGGGGGGCTCATCACGTCGAATGTTCACAGCGAGGGTCAAACACGCGACGCCGCTAGCTGTCGAGTTTTAGATGTTGCATGGGGTGAATCCGGAGGACGCGGAGCAAAATCTACGTGACCGCGGGGAGAGAGAGAGATGCATGGAGGACCCACGACCTCCTGTAGACCGGGCGAGGTAGTCAACATTTCATAGCCACCGTGATGACGATGATGATGATTAGAGAGACACACAGACCTCCTGTACACCAGGCGAGGTAGTCAACATCTCATAGCCACTGTGATGATGATGATGAGAGAGACACAGACCTCCTGTATACCAGGCGAGGTAGTCAACATCTCATAGCCACCGTGGTAATGATGATGATGAGAGAGACACAGACCTCCTGTAGACCAGGCGAGGTAGTCAACATCTCCTAGCACACCGTGATGATGATGATGATGAGAGAGACACAGACCTCCTGTAGACCAGGCGAGGTAGTCAACATCTCATAGCCACTGTGATGATGATGACGATGAGAGACACAGACCTCCTGTAGACCAGGCGAGGTAGTCAACATCTCATAGCCACTGTGATGATGATGATGAGAGAGACACAGACCTCCTGTAGACCAGGCGAGGTAGTCAACATCTCATAGCCACCGTGATGATAATGATGATGAGAGAGAGACACAGACCTCCTGTAGACCAGGCGAGGTAGTCAACATCTCCTAGCACACCGTGATGATGATGATGAGAGAGACACAGACCTCCTGTAGACCAGGCGAGGTAGTCAACATCTCCTAGCACACCGTGATGATGATGATGAGAGAGACACAGACCTCCTGTAGACCAGGCGAGGTAGTCAACATCTCCTAGCACACCGTGATGATGATGATGAGAGAGACACAGACCTCCTGTAGACCAGGCGAGGTAGTCAACTTCTCATAGCCACCGTGATGATGATGATGATGAGAGAGAGACACAGACCTCATGTAGACCAGGCGAGGTAGTCAACATCTCATAGCCACCGTGATGATGATGATGAGAGAGACACAGACCTCCTGTAGACCAGGCGAGGTAGTCAACTTCTCATAGCCACCGTGATGATGATGATGAGAGAGAGACACAGACCTCCTGTAGATCAGGCGAGGTAGTCAACATCTCATAGCCACCGTGATGATGATGATGAGAGAGACACAGACCTCCTGTAGACCAGGCGAGGTAGTCAACATCTCATAGCCACTGTGATGATGATGATGATGAGAGACACAGACCTCCTGTATACCAGGCGAGGTAGTCAACATCTAGCCACCGTGATGATGATGATGAGAGAGACACAGACCTCCTGTATACCAGGCGAGGTAGTCAACATCTCCTAGCCACCGTGATGATGATGATGAGAGAGAGACACAGACCTCCTGTATACCAGGCGAGGTAGTCAACCGCTCATAGCCACTGTGATGATGATGATGAGAGAGACACAGACCTCCTGTATACCAGGCGAGGTAGTCAACATCTCATTGCCACCTTGATGATGATAATGAGAGAGAGACACAGACCTCCTGTATACCAGGTGAGGTAGTCAACATCTCATAGCCACCGTGGTAATGATGATGATGAGAGAGACACAGACCTCCTGTAGACCAGGCGAGGTAGTCAACATCTCCTAGCACACCGTGATGATGATGATGAGAGAGACACAGACCTCCTGTAGACCAGGCAAGGTAGTTACCATCTCCTAGCACACCGTGATGATGATGATGAGAGACACAGACCTCCTGTAGACCAGGCGAGGTAGTCAACATCTCATAGCCACCGTGATGATGATGATGAGAGAGAGACACCGACCTCCTGTAGACCAGGCGAAGTAGTCAACATCTCATAGCCACCGTGATGATAATGATGATGAGAGAGACACAGACCTCCTGTAGACCAGGCGAGGTAGTTAACATCTCATAGCCACCGTGATGATAATGATGATGAGAGAGAGACACAGACCTCCTGTAGACCAGGCGAGGTAGTCAACATCTCCTAGCACACCGTGATGATAATGATGATGAGAGAGAGACACAGACCTCCTGTAGACCAGGCGAGGTAGTCAACATCTCCTAGCACACCGTGATGATGATGATGAGAGAGAGACACAGACCTCCTGTAGACCAGGCGAGGTAGTCAACATCTCATAGCCACCGTGATGATGATGATGTTGAGAGAGAGACACAGACCTCCTGTAGACCAGGCGAGGTAGTCAACATCTCCTAGCACACCATGATGATGATGAGAGAGAGAGACACAGACTCCAAACACACAACAACAGCAGCAGCGGCGGCAGGCATCGTCGGGCTGGGGATTGAATCCATGACCCTGCGTACCAGGTGGGATGGTTAACGTCTCCTCAGCCTGCGTTGGACCTTGCCCCCCGTGACCTGTGACCTGTGACCTGTGCTCCCCCCCCACGTACCCCCCCACGTACCAGCGGAGGAGCGCAAGCTGTTTGTGGGGATGCTGGCCAAGAAGCTGACGGACGGCGAGGTGAGCTCCATGTTCAGCCCCTACGGAGCCGTGGAGGACTGCAAGGTGCTGCTGGGACCAGACGGCCTCAGCAAAGGTGAGGTGGTGGTGGTGGTGGAGGTGGTGGTTGTGGAGGTGGTGGTGGAAGTGGTGAGTGTGGTGGTGGTGGTGAGTGTGGTGGTGGTGGTGGAAGTGGTGGTGGTGAGTGTGGTGGTGGTGGAGGTTGTGGTGGTGGTGGTGGAGGTTGTGGTGGAGGTTGTGGTGGAGGTGGAAGTGGTGAGTGTGGTGATGGTGGTGAGGGTGGTGGAAGTGGTGGTGATGGTGGTGGTGGAAGTGGTGGTGGTGAGGGTGGTGGTGGTGGTGGTGGAAGTGGTGGTGGAGGTGGTGGTGGAGGTGAGGGTGGTGGTGGTGTAATGTTGATGGTCGTGGTGATGATGATGGAGGTGGTGCTGATGATGGAGGTGGTGCTGATGATGGAGGTGGTGCTGATGATGGAGGTTGTCCTGATGATGGAGGTTGTGCTGATGATGGAGGTTCTGCTGATGATGGAGGTTGTGCTGATGATGGCGGTTGTGCTGATGATGGCGGTTGTGCTGATGATGGAGGTTGTGCTGATGATGGAGGTTGTGCTGATGATGGAGGTTGTGCTGATGATGGAGGTGTTGCTGATGATGGAGGTTGCGCTGATGATGGAGGTTGTGCTGATGGTGGAGGTTGTGCTGATGATGGAGGTTGCGCTGATGATGGAGGTTGCGCTGATGATGGAGGTTGCGGTGATGATGGCGGTTGTGGCGATGATGGCGGTGATGGAGGCGGTGTTAATGGGGAGTGGTGGGTGTAGTGGTTAGCGCTACGTTTCAGCGTCAAACCCGGCGACCTGAGTTCGATTCCCGCTCACGGCCACCAACACCAGCGGCGACGATTATCTGAACCGGTCCTGGGCCTCCCCTAGGTCGACTCGGCCTCAAATGAGTACCTGGTGTAGCGGCAGTGTGTGTAGTAAACGTCATCACTGGGGAGACAAAGGCGGCCGGGCGTGGTGCTGGCCACCCACCCCCTCGTGTGCCACAGTGCCGGTAGCCTTCATAGGTGGTGCTCGCTAACAGCACTTGCCCCTACAGCCCTGTTAGAGGCTACACGGGGGATCTTTGTCTGTGTATAGGTGCTGCTGCTACTCGCTACTGACAGCACTTGCCCCTACAGCCCTGCTAGAGGCTACACGGGGGATCTTTGTCTGTGTATAGGTGCTGCTGCTACTCGCTACTAACAGCACTTGACCCTACAGCCTGATAGAGGCTACACGGGGGATCTTTGTCTGTGTGTAGGTGCTGCTGCTACTCGCTACTAACATCACTTGCCCCTACAGCCCTGCTAGAGGCTACACGGGGGATCTTTGTCTGTGTGTAGGTGCTGCTGCTACTCGCTACTAACAGCACTTGCCCCTACAGCCCTGTTAGAGGCTACACGGGGGATCTTTGTCTGTGTATAGGTGCTGCTGCTGCTGCTGCTACTCGCTACTAACAGCACTTGCCCCTACAGCCCTGTTAGAGGCTACACGGGGGAGCTTTGTCTGTGTATAGGTGCTGCTGCTACTCGCTACTAACAGCACTTGCCCCTACAGCCCTGTTAGAGGCTACACGGGGGAGCTTTGTCTGTGTATAGGTGCTGCTGCTACTCGCTACTAACAGCACTTGCCCCTACAGCCCTGCTAGAGGCTACACGGGGGATCTTTGTCTGTGTATAGGTGCTGCTGCTACTCGCTACTAACAGCACTTGCCCCTACAGCCCTGCTAGAGGCTACACGGGGGATCTTTGTCTGTATATAGGTGCTGCTGCTACTCGCTACTAACAGCACTTGCCCCTACAGCCCTGCTAGAGGCTACACGGGGGATCTTTGTCTGTGTATAGGTGCTGCTGCTACTCGCTACTAACAGCACTTGCCCCTACAGCCCTGCTAGAGGCTACACGGGGGATCTTTGTCTGTGTATAGGTGCTGCTGCTGCTGCTACTCGCTACTAACAGCACTTGCCCCTACAGCCCTGCTAGAGGCTACACGGGGGATCTTTGTCTGTGTATAGGTGCTGCTGCTGCTACTCGCTACTGACAGCACTTGCCCCTACTGACAGCACTTGCCCCTACAGAGGCTACACGGGGGAGCTTTGTTGGTTGAGGTTGGTGGCGGTGGTTGTGATCGTGGTGGTGATCGTGGTGGTGGTGTTTGTGTGGCTCGCAGGATGTGCTTTCCTCACCTATGCAACCAAGGCAGCTGCCCTCAAGGCCATCAAGATGATGCATCACTCGCAGACCATGGAGGTGAGGTACACGCAGGCCATCGTGAACCCACGAACCCGACCACACGCCCGCACACGCTCGCTCGTACATCCCGCTCGTACACCCGCCCACTCATTCGCATTACCACCTACGCACTCAATTACCCACCCACCCACCCTCTCGCCCACCAACTCTCTCGCCCACCAACTCGCCCACGCACTCATCCACCCATGCACCTACTCAGTTGCCAACCCGCCCTCCCTATCGCCCACAAAGCGATCCACCTACCCACCAACCCGCTCACATTCCCACTCAGCCACCCACTCAACAACCCACACACCCACCCATTTACAAACCCACCAACCCACCCACCCACCAACCACCTCAGCCACCCACTCGACCACCCACTCAACCATCCACACACCCATTTACAAACCCACCAACCCACCCTCTCACCCACCAACTACCTCAGCCACCCACTCAACCACCCACACACCCACCCACACACCCACCCATTTACAAACCCACCAACCCAACCACCCTCTCACCCACCAACCACCTCAGCCACCCACTCAACCACCCACTCAACCACCCACACACCCACCCATTTACCAACCCACCAACCCACCCACCCTCTCACCCAGCAACCACCTCAGCCACCCCCTCAACCACCCACGCACCCACCCATTTACAAACCCACCAACCCACCCACCCTCTCACCCACCAACCACCTCAGCCACCCACTCAACCACCCACGCACCCACCCATTTACAAACCCACCAACCCACCCACCCACCAACCACCTCAGCCACCCACTCAACCACCCACGCACCCACCCATTTACAAACCCACCAACCCACCCACCCACCAACCACCTCAGCCACCCACTCGACCACCCACTCAACCACCCACACACCCATTTACAAACCCACCAACCCACCCACCCTCTCACCCACCAACCACCTCAGCCACCCACTCAACCACCCACTCAGCCACCCACACACCCACCCATTTACAAACCCACCAACCCACCCACCCTCTCACCCACCAACCACCTCAGCCACCCACGCACTCAACCACCCACACACCCACCCATTTACAAACCCACCAACCCACCCACCCACCAACCACCTCAGCCACCCACTCGACCACCCACTCAACCACCCACACACCCATTTACAAACCCACCAACCCACCCACCCTCTCACCCACCAACCACCTCAGCCACCCACTCAACCACCCACTCAGCCACCCACACACCCACCCATTTATTAACCCACCAACCCACCCACCCTCTCACCCACCAACCACCTCAGCCACCCACGCACTCAACCACCCACTCAACCACCCACGCACCCACCCATTTATTAACCCACCAACCCACCCACCCTCTCACCCACCAACCACCTCAGCCACCCACTCAACCACCCACTCAACCACCCACACACACACCCATTTACAAACCCACCAACCCACCCACCCTCTCACCCAGCAACCACCTCAGCCACCCCCTCAACCACCCACTCAACCACCCACACACACACCCATTTACAAACGCACCAACCCACCCACCCTCTCACACACCAACCACCTCAGCCACCCACTCAACCACCCACGCACCCACCCATTTAGAAACCCACCAACCCACCCACCCACCAACCACCTCAGCCACCCACTCGACCCCCCACTCAACCACCCACACACACACCCATTTACAAACGCACCAACCCACCCACCCTCTCACCCACCAACCACCTCAGCCACCCACTCAACCACCGACTCAACCACCCATTTACAAACCCACCAACCCACCCACCCTCTCACCCAGCAACCACCTCAGCCACCCACTCAACCACCCACTCAACCACCCATTTACAAACCAACCCACCCACCCTCTCACACACCAACCACCTCAGCCACCCACTCAACCACCCACGCACCCACCCCTTTAGAAACCCACCAACCCACCCACCCACCAACCACCTCAGCCACCCACTCGACACACCCACTCAACCACCCACACACCCACCCATTTACAAACCCACCAACCCACCCACCCTCTCACCCAGCAACCACCTCAGCCACCCACTCAACCACCCACTCAACCACCCACTCAACCACCCATTTACCAACCCACCCACCCTCTCGGCCAACCTCTCGCCAACCAACTCGCTCACCCGCCCACTCGCACCCTCCCATTTACCAACCCGCCCCACTCACCCTCTCACCCCCCCACCTCCCCCCACCCACCCTCTTACCCCCCACCCACCCACCCACCGCCCACCCAGGGCTGCCGTGCACCGCTGGTTGTCAAGTTTGCCGACACGGCCCGCGAGAAGGAGAATAACCGGGTCCACCATCGCCTGAGCCTCATGCAGCAGCAGCAGCAGCAGCTGGGCGTGATGGGCGGCGGAGGAGGGGGCGGGGGAGGAGGGGGAGGTGGGGGAGGAGGGGGGGGCATGATGGGGGGGGGAGGGATGATGGGCGGCGGGGGGGGTCCCCCCGGGGTGGGTTGCATGATGGGCGGTGGAGGAGGTGGGGGGGCTGGTGCCGGGGGGCTGCCCGGGAACTTCCCCCCGGGGATGGGCGGCTCCGGGGGGAACCTGGCGGCGATCGGAACTCAGTATCTGGCGGTGAGTGTCGGGTGGTGGGCGGGGGGGGGGTAGTGGGGGGGGGTGGGGGTGGTGGGGGGAAGGTGCCCGCCGCCCCTCCCCCCCCCCCCCCCCCCCCCCACCTGCAGTGCCGCTTTGCTCGCTCCTGTCGGGGGGTGTCATGGTGGGGGGGTTGCAGCCACTGTGTGGCATAGAACGTGAGTGGGGGTGTGAGTCTAGAACGTGGTGTCAGAAGTGGGGCCTGTGAGTCTAGAACGTGGTGTCAGAAGTGGGGCCTGTGAGTCTAGAACGTGGTGTCAGAAGTGGGGTCTGTGAGTCTAGAACGTGGCGTCAGAAGTGGGGGTGCGAGTCTAGAACGTGGTGTCAGAAGCGGGGCCTGTGAGTCTAGAACGTGGTGTCAGAAGTGGGGCCTGTGAGTCTAGAACGTGGTGTCAGAAGTGGGGTCTGTGAGTCTAGAACGTGGCGTCAGAAGTGGGGGTGCGAGTCTAGAACGTGGTGTCAGAAGCGGGGCCTGTGAGTCTAGAACGTGGTGTCAGAAGTGGGGCGTGTGAGTCTAGAACGTGGCGTCAGAAGTGGGGTGTGAGTCTAGAACGTGGTGTCAGAAGTGGGGGTGTGAGTCTAGAACGTGGTGTCAGAAGTGGGGCCTGTGAGTCTAGAACGTGGTGTCAGAAGTGGGGCCTGTGAGTCTAGAACGTGGTGTCAGAAGTGGGGTCTGTGAGTCTAGAACGGGGTGTCAGAAGTGGGGCCTGTGAGTCTAGAACGTGGTGTCAGAAGTGGGGGTGTGAGTCTAGAACGTGGTGTCAGAAGTGGGGCCTGTGAGTCTAGAACGTGGTATCAGAAGTGGGGCGTGTGAGTCTAGAACGTGGTATCAGAAGTGGGGGGTGTGAGTCTAGAACGTGGCGTCAGAAGTGGGGGTGTGAGTCTAGAACGTGGTGTCAGAAGTGGGGGTATGAGTCTAGAACGTGGTGTCAGAAGCAGGGGTGTGAGTCTAGAACGTGGTGTCAGAAGTGGGGTGTGAGTCTAGAACGTGGCGTCAGAAGTGGGGGTGTGAGTCTAGAACGTGGTGTCAGAAGTGGGGCGTCTGAGTCTAGAACGTGATATCAGAAGTGGGGGTGTGAGTCTAGAACGTGGTGTCAGAAGTGGGGTGTGAATCTAGAACGTGGTGTCAGAAGTGGGGCCTGTGAGTCTCGAACGTGGTGTCAGAAGTGGGGGTGTGAGTCTAGAATGTGGTGTCAGAAGTGGGGCCTGTGAGTCTAGAACGTGGTGTCAGAAGTGGGCGTGTGAGTCTAGAACGTGGTGTCAGAAGCGGGGCGTGTGAGTCTAGAACGTGGTGTCAGAAGTGGGGGGTATGAGTCTAGAACGTGGTGTCAGAAGTGGGGGTCTGAGTCTAGAACGTGGTGTCAGAAGTGGGGGTGTGAGTCTAGAACGTGGTGTCAGAAGTGGGGTGTGTGAGTCTAGAACGTGGTGTCAGAAGTGGGGGGTGTGAATCTAGAACGTGATGTCAGAAGTGGGGGGTGTGAGTCTAGAACGTGGTGTCAGAAGTGGGGGGGGTGTGAGTCTATAACGTGGTGTCAGAAGTGGGGTGTGAGTCTAGAACGTGGTGTCAGAAGTGGGGGTCTGAGTCTAGAACGTGGTGTCAGAAGTGGGGGTGTGAGTCTAGAACGTGGTGTCAGAAGTGGGGGGTGTGAGTCTAGAACGTGGTGTCAGAAGTGGGGGGTGTGAATCTAGAACGTGATGTCAGAAGTGGGGGGTGTGAGTCTAGAACGTGGTGTCAGAAGTGGGGGGGGTGTGAGTCTATAACGTGGTGTCAGAAGTGGGGTGTGAGTCTAGAACGTGGTGTCAGAAGTGGGGGTGTGAGTCTAGAACGTGGTGTCAGAAGTGGGGTGTGTGAGTCTAGAACGTGGTGTCAGAAGTGGGGTGAGTCTAGAACGTGGTGTCAGAAGTGGGGGTGTGAGTCTAGAACGTGGTGTCAGAAGTGGGGGTGTGAGTCTAGAACGTGGTGTCAGAAGTGGGGTGTGTCTAGAACGTGGTGTCAGAAGCGGGGTGTGTGAGTCTAGAACGTGGTGTCAGAAGTGGGGCGTGTGAGTCTAGAACGTGGCGTCAGAAGTGGGGGGTCTGAGTCTAGAACGTGGTGTCAGAAGTGGGGATGTGAGTCTAGAACGTGGTGTCAAAAGTGTGGGGCCTGTGAGTCTAGAACGTGGTGTCAGAAGTGGGGCCTGTGAGTCTAGAACGTGGTGTCAGAAGTGGGGGTGTGAGTCTAGAACGTGGTGTCAGAAGTGGGGGTGTGAGTCTAGAACGTGGTGTCAGGAGTGGGGGGTGTGAGTCTAGAACGTGGTGTCAGAAGTGGGGCGTGTGAGTCTCGAACGTGGTGTCAGAAGTGGGGTGTGAGTCTAGAACGTGGTGTCAGAAGTGGGGGGTGTGAGTCTAGAACGTGGTGTCAGAAGTGGGGTGTGAGTCTAGAACGTGGTGTCGTTGTGGTTGTGTGAATCTAATACACAGAGACAGCTGCCACTGGGGGTGCCCCTAGGCTACACAGCAAAAGCAGACTAATACACAGAGACAGCTGCCACTGGGGGTGCCCCTAGGCTACACAGCTACACAGCAACAGCAGACTAATACACAGAGACTGCTGTCACTGGGGGAGCCCCTCGGCTACACAACTACACAGCAACAGCAGACTAACACACAGAGACAGCTGTCACTGGAGGTGCCCCTAGGCTACACAGCTACACAGCAACAGCAGACTAATACACAGAGACAGCTGACACTGGGGGTGCCCCTAGGCTACACAGCTACACAGCAACAGCAGACTAACACACAGAGACAGCTCCCACTGGGGGTGCCCCTAGTCTACACAGCTACACAGTGTCTCTGCGTGTCTCTGTGTGTCTGCGTGTGTCTCTGTGTCTCTCTGTGTCTCTCTGTGTGTCTCTCTCTCTGTGTCTCTGCGTGTGTCTCTGTGTCTCTCTGTGTGTCTCTGCGTGTCATCGCTCTCTCCGTCTGTCCCACAGCAACTGCTGCAGACAGCGCTGTCGGCCATCAACCCCCAGCAGATGGGAGGTGAGTGGCACGGGGGCAGCCATTGTGAGCCCACTGGGGAGAGGTGGTGGTGGTGGTGACGGTGGTGGTGACGTTGACGGTGGTGGTGGTGACGGTGGTGGTGGTGGTGGTGACGGTGGTGGTGGTGGTGGTGGTGACGGTGGTGGTGGTGACGGTGGTGGTGACGGTGGTGGTGACGGTGGTGGTGACGGTGGTGGTGACGGTGGTGGTGACGGTGGTGGTGACGGTGGTGGTGGTGGTGGTGACGGTGGTGGTGACGGTGGTGGTGACGGTGGTGGTGACGGTGGTGGTGACGGTGGTGGTGGTGGTGACGGTGGTGGCTGTGGTGGCGGTGGTGGTGACGGTGGTGGTGGTGACGGTGGTGGCTGTGGTGGTGGTGACGGTGGTGGTGGTGGTGACGACGGTGGTGGTGGTGACGACGGTGGTGGTGGTGGTGGTGACGGTGGTGGTCTCTGTCGGTGGTGGCTGGTGGTGGTGGTGGCGGTGACTGTGGCGGTGGTGGTGGTGGTGACGGTGGTGGTGGTGGTGACGGTGGTGGCGGTGGTGGTGGTGGTGGTGACGGTGGTGGTGGTGACGGTGGTGGTGGTGGCTGTGGTGGTGGTGGCTGTGGTGGCTGTGGCGGTGGTGGCTGTGGTGGTGGTGGTGGCGGTGTTGTTGTGTGTAGGCATGAACGCGATGCAGATGCAGGCCCTCGCCACGTTGTTGTTGTGACGGTGTTGCGACGGTGTTGCTAGGGTGTTGTTGTGACGGTGTTGTTAGGGTGTTGTTGTGACGGTGTTGTGACGGTGTTGTGACGGTGTTGTTAGGGTGTTGTTGTGACAGTGTTGTTGTGACGGTGTTGATGTTGTGACGGTGTTGATGTTGTGTAGGCGTGAATGCGATGCAGATGCAGGCCCTCGCCACGTTGTTGTTGTTGTGACGTTGTTGTGACGGTGTTGTTGTTAGG